TTCTTACAATTTGATAATGTTTTTTTTTTGTTCTTTCTTTTATTTCTTAATACTATGTTTTGTTTGTTTTGCATTTCATGTTATTTTTTTTTAATTTTTTTTATTATAATTATTTTTTTTATTTATATATAATAATTTTTTATTTATTTTTTTATAAATATTTGCATTTTCTCTGTGAGATAGATGTGTAGATTTATGTATGTAAGTGTGTGATTTTGCATATAATTTATTTATATATGAAGTTGTGTGAAAATTTGGTGTCCATTTTTGTTTTTTTTTTTTTTTTTTTTTTTTTAATAGGAAAGGAATGTGTGAGGTTAGGTTTCATTTGTTAATAATTTCTTAAGTTATAAATTCCAAATAAATGTTTTGCTTCTTGATTACAGTTTTTTTGTTTTTGTAACTGATAACCTTGAGATGCCAAATAGTATTTTTTCTTTTGTTTAATTTGTATATATGTTGTTAATTTGTTATTAAACTAAATATATACTTTTCATATTTTAAAACATAGTGTTTTCTTTTTGTAATTTTTATATGATACAATTCATATGGAACATATCACAAGCTGGAAAGAGATTTCTTAAATGAGGACAGAGGACATTTTTCTGTAAGGGGAAGGTAAAAAAATATTTACAAAAAAGAAAAAAATAGAGTAGAATAGAATTTAAAAATTGAACAAAAATATTAAATAAAATTCGGAATTCGAAATCGAGAGATATTAAAAAAAAATAGTATTTTTTTAAGAAAATAAAAGGACTTTTTATTTATTTATTTATTATTATTATTTTTTTTTTTGAACAATTTGAATTCGAAATTAATTTTCTGAAATCTCTTTCAGCTGTGATATTTATGTATATGATAGTGATTTATTTTTTGTGTTTATTATTTCTTAAATAATGCACTTTAAATTGCATTGGATTCCAGGAGATTTCTAACATTAAACGCACACGCAAAAAATCGAATTGAACAAAGTTGTGGCTTAATAAATTTCTAGCATTAAAAAATCTGAATTTTTTGTTCTAAAATTCGCTAAAAGATCTATGAAAAAAGCAAGACTTATTTTTATGAACTTTAGGTTCGGTTTCTCAATGGTTCAATTCAAATTAGACAATGTTGTTCACATAACAGCTTTATTCGCATTCCATTACTAGAATGGAACTAGTTCATTTAGCTGGTTCCTTTGTTGCATTTAGTTCCTTCCTTCATATGTCATTGTGTTCATTTTATGCGGTATTTTCTTTATTTTGCCAAAAATTATTTATAATTTTTTTGAAATTAAGTAATTGGTCGAAAGGAAAAATATTTCTTTTTTTATTTATTTATTTATTTTTTTTTAATAATATAAAATAATAGATGTATGAACTTTTTCTTTTTTATGCAAAATAAAATGAAAATAACTAAAAAGTAGGTAAACTAAAGGACCTAGTTGATATAGTTCAAATCATTTCTTTCACGAAATAGTCTCCGTAAACAAGTTCATTTCGGATCGAGTCAGAATGGAAATAATGAATATAATTAAATGTGGTTCGTTTCAGAACAAACTGATTCAAAATGATTCAAAATACATTCCATGAATGGAATTATTGGTACCACATCCAGGGTTCATTTATTTATATATCTCAGAATCTGTTAGAAGCTGTATTAATTAAAGCTTTCTGTCATGATAGAAGAATACAGGTAGTAGAATCGACACAGCTGCTGGGACAATAAACTGTCAAACCAATTTTTAATCTTAAAATTTTTGAATGAAAATTTATTTAAATTCGTTAAAATTGTTGAAAAATGCATATCATAACGATCTCCGATTGGTTTCGTATAAGAAAACTTATAAAAATCTTATTATTTACAAAAAAAAAAAAACATTAAAAAAATTTTCCCGTATCAATGTTCCCAAGCGTTGAAGCATCTACCTGAATACTTCTTGTATGTTCTCCGATTTTTTATTCTCTGATTGCAATGTTATTCAATATTTCGAATTGTCTGTGATCTCACTGAACCTCTCTTTCTTCTGTGTCTCTCGCTAAGTGCCCATGGGCGCTTTTATGCAATGCTTTTTGTTTCAATTTCAAATTGTTTGTCCCCTAGGGCTGTTGGTGTATGGAATGAACGGCCCTGAACTAGGTGCGGCCGCCCTGAACATTGGTCGAAGCATGTGGTAACAATATGAAAGATCACTTTATTTAAGCTCAACCCTGGAACTCTAGATTCTGGAATCCGTATTCGTACACGTGGTGGATGTATTACCTCCGGGATAACCATAGATATCCAATCAACTGTTAACGATCGAAGAAACCATAACTTAATGAGACATTTTTCTAATGCCTCCGGAATTGCCACCAAAGTAAATTTTAACAAATGTTGTTTTGCAAAATGAAGATTTTCTGATTTTAAACGGAAAAAATCCAAATTTAAACGAATTGTTCAAGAAATGTGCTAGCTCCAGAATTACCACAGATATCCAAGTAACGAAGAAGTATTTCACAGAATAAAATTTACAAAAAAAAAACCCTGTATATTGGCTCGTCATTTATGTACAGCATTTTGTACTTACCTGCCTCTTTAAAGGGGTACACAAAGAATCAAGTAAAGAAAAGTCTAAAAGTCGGGCATATTTAGTAGAGTTCCAGTAACAAAAGTTATTTGAATAGATCATAGCACCTCTCAATATTTTGCTTTAGAGCAGTTATTTTTAGGTTTCAGAGGGCACTAACATATGGGAGGCATATCCAATTCTGAATCGATTTTCACTAAATTTGACGAGAGAAGGATTATATTAAATAAAATATAACGGAGCTGAGTTCCACAAAATGGAAACGTACGTCCCGAAATGCACTCCATTTGCTCCATTTGATTTTTGCCATTATTTGCAGAATAAACCTGAAATCGAATTAAGCTTATATGTGGGAGCTCTAACCAAATCTTAGCCGTTCTCGAAAAAAGTGGGCATAGGTATTTCCCAGCTCTATAAGATAACTGGTATCAAATATCATTGTTCTCGAATGCATATTACGAATGTGAGGGACTTAATACCCCAAAACGGATGAAACGTATATATGGGAGCTGGAGCTATATCTGAACCTATTTACACCAAATACTGGTTTGTAGGATGAATTTAGCCGTAATTACCAAAATTCAGTCCATTTGGGTTGATATTGGGCATTTGGTGAACAATAGACCTGATAAAGATATGTATGGGAGCTAGAGCCATATCTGAACCGATTTACACAAAATTTGAGGTGCTGCTTTCTAGAATGAATTCAGTCGTAATTGCCAAAATTCAGTCCATTTGGGCTGATATTGGGCATTTGGTGAACAATAAACCTGATATCGGATAAAGATATATATGGGAGCTATATCTTAATCTGAACCGATCTCGATAAAATTTGACAGAGGTATTTTCGAGCAGGATCTGATGTCCGCCACCAAATATCATTCTTGAGGAGTGCATATTAAGCATGTGAGGGACGATTTAAAACCTCGAAAACGAGTGACACATATATGTGGGAGCTATAGATATATCTGAAGCGATTTTTTCCAAATTTGATGCACTTGCTTCTAGACTGAATTCGGTGGAATGTACCAAAATTCAGGTCATTTGGACTTGTATTGGCCATTTGGTGCACAATTAACCCGAAATCGGTTAAAGATATATGGGAGCTATATCTAAATCTGATCCGATTCTCACCAAATTCAATAGGGTTCGTCCTTGGGCCAAAAAAATATTGTTTGAAAAATTTCATCTCAATCGGATAATAAATGCGACCTTTATTTTGTTCACAAGAATACATGCACAGAGGGTCGGATGGAAGGACAGACGGACTGACATGCATAAATCAACTCAAAAAGTGATTCTATGAAGATCCTCAAAAGTAAGTAAAAGTAAAGTAAATATGCCGAAGCATTTGTATCTTTTAAATTCCGACTTGTATAGCCCATTTGATATATATTTGGAGCTATATCCAAATCTGAACCGATCTTGATAACATTTGGCAAAGCTATTTCTGAGCTGTATTTGATATATTTCCCCAAATATTGTTGTTACAGAGTGCATATTACGGCTGTGGGTAACAAATATAACAAATCGGATGAGCAATATATATGGGAGCTATAGCTATGTCTGAACCGATCTTCACCAAATTTGACATACTACCTTCTAGACTCAATTTGGTAGTAAGTGCCAAATTTCATCTAATTTGGGCAAATATAAGTCGTTTGGCGCACAATCAAATGTAAATCGGACGAAGTTATATATGGGAGATATATCCAAATCCGAACCGATCTCGATAAAATTTAGCAAATGTATTTCTGAGCTGTATTTGATATATTTCCCCAAATATTGTTGTTACAGAGTGCATATTTCGGCTGCGAAGGACAAAAATAACAAATCGGATGAACAATATGCATTGGAGCTATAGCTATATCTCAACCGATTTCGATCAAATTTGGCATACTTATTTTCAGGCCTAATTTGATTGTATGTGCATAATTCCATACTATTCGGGCTGATATTACACATTTGGTGAACAATAAAAGGCAAATCGGACGAAGATATATATGGGAGCTATATCTAAATTTTGACCGATTATCTCCAATTTCAATAGGGTTCGTCCTTGGGCCAAACAAATGATTTGTGCAAAATTTCATCTGAATCGGGTAATAAATGCGAACTGTACTTTGTTCACAAAAATACATGGCCTGTTACAAACAAATGCACAAAAACATATTACCCTGACCACCTTGGGGTGTAGGGTATAAAAATCAAAACTGCTGCCTTCCTTTGATTTTCGATTAAAATTCCATACCCTGACTGCAATCGATAGGTGTGCGCTTAAGTTATATACTTCTTGTTTTTTTATTTTTTTTTGTAATTTTTTTATTTATTTTTTTTTCTTTTCTTTATCCTTTACACTACATGGTAGATTTCCTTGAGGAAAGTGGGTGTGTGTGTGTGTGAGGGGGAGGAGTGTTTTTTGTTTTGTGTTTTGTATTAACTAAGTCTATTATGTTTTTGTTTTTTTTTGTTTTTAGAAATATATGCAACTAAAAAAACGACACTAAACTAAAACTTATTTTATTTTGTAGATTATTTTCGGTTTTTTTCTTTTTCTTTTCTCTTTCTCATTTTTTCAATGATGTCTCTTTTACAGGAAATGTTTGTGTGTGTGTGTGTATCTGTGAGAGGGTTTTATGTTTGTTGTTTTTTTTTTGCTTTTGTAAATTATACATACATAAACGAAACCATTGACGAAAGACAATGACGACAACAGCTCGTTAAAGGAACATAATGGAGATTGAAAAAAATCAAATTCAAATTCTGATTCAAATTTAAATTCATAATTTCATCATCAAATATGGACTATACTAAACACAAAAAAAAATTATATATATATATGTATATTTAATAATAATACTAAACTTATGTATAGCGTAAAGAGAGGGTGGAGGGTCAAAATGTCTCTAATGCTCGGGGTGGGGGGAAGGACAAAAACTTAAGCATAAATTTACATAAATATACAACATATGCAGTATGGAGGTGGAGGAGGAGGATTACATTGCTTGGTGTGGGGGTCTTAAAATGGGAGGCTACTAGGCTCGGGGGGTCCTTTGCATCAGTAAGCCCCAGTTACATTTACATACATATACATATTACATAATAGCATGAAATACCAATAAAAATAAACGAGAGACAATAGTTTGTTGTTGTTTTTTGTTGTTGTTCTTGTCTTTTGTGTTGAGTAAGAAAACAGAATAAGAAGTAAAAAGTAGCAGCTAAAGAAGATTACAAGTAAGATACGTTCTTTGGTTTGAATTAATTGAAAACAAAATTAAAATAAAAAAAAAAATAAAAAAAAAAATAAAAATAAAACTTAGGGTCTGACAGTCAGAACTTTTGAAGGTTAAAGTAAATTGTGGGGAGGGGAAACAGCATTTAATGATCCTAAATTGAGTTTTTTCTCTTTTTGCTCCTGGAAAGCTGTTTCGTTACCTTTTTTCGGCGATGTTGTTGTGGTCTGGTTTAGTTTTGAGGCTAATCAATGGAATAACGATTCGAATTATGATTTTGTTGATGCTGCGGCTGCTGATGATTATGGCTGCTGCTGTTGTTGTTGTTGTTGCTACTCGTGATGCCATCAATTCCATTGATCTGACGCCAGGCATTTAGTACGGGCTGCAGTTGCAACGAATAGCTAACTTGTCACACATCATCCAGATCTATGACAGATGAGCGATCGTTGTCGTCCCGGTCATACAATTGTCACTGATCCCCATGCAGGCCCGGCGATTTGCGGTGCAAATCATCCATGGACCCGCTGGTGCTGCACCCACTGCCATTGTGCTGCACCTCCAGCCCGTTGACCATGTTTTCAATCGATTTGAGCTCTGACGGTGAGTTGGTACGTTTTATAAGGGAGGGCGGCGTGGTGGGTGACATGGAGATTGGCCGCGTCGGAGGCGAGTGGGAGGAGGCACGTGGTCTTGGACTAGAGCTGAGACTGCGAGGCCCATTGTTGTCAACACTACCCGTGCCGCTGCTGCCCATGCCGGGGCACTCGGAACCAGAGCGATTGGCATTCGAACCAGGCGTCACAGCATCAAAGGCCGAGCCCAGACTGCCGGGCAGGGTGTAGGGCGAGAAACGATGACCCTTGAGACCGTGCAGCGGCGAGGCTGGCGTATGTCCTGAGTAGTGTCCAAATAAGGCGGGATGCTGAGCGGCTAAAGCAAGTTGAGCATTGAACAGGAGGCCGGGATTGAGGCCCGCCGCTGCAGCGGGATTGTGCAGCAAACCCAAATGATGTGGCGGGTACAGGCCGTGTGGATAGAGGTAAGGCAACAGGTGTGGTGATGGATGTATGGGTGGGCCAACGGATATATTGGGCGAGGGATAGGAGCCGGCCGCACCCAGGCCGCCGGCACCCTCCTTAGGGCTACCCGAGGAGGTGGGCCGGAACGCTCCACCCGTACTGCCACCCACCGATTCTGAGCAACTTGAATCACTGCCATCACGTTCCACCTCATCCGATTGCAGTCGTCTTCGCAGGGCATCATCACTGCCGTGATCGCTGGCACCGGCCAGATGGTTGAACCAAGCTGCAAGGGCTTTTAATAGATTAGAAAATGTTGGGGTTAATTAGAGAATCGGTTGATAAAATGGGAGATACAAAATGTGATGTGAGAGAGAGAAGAAGAGATGGGGGAGAGTTTAAAAAGGCTGGTGAGAGGGTTAAATTTTTTTCTCTTCAAAGAAGAGGTGGCCTGCTCTTCTAAAGGTCAAATGAAAAGGAAGAGAATTTCTGCAGATAGAAGAGAGAAAACCACAATTCTTCCAGGAATATAAAATCAACTCTTCTAGACATAGATGTTTTAAAGGTTAAAGAGACCAGGGCCTCAACTCTCGCTTTATAAAAATGTGAAATGAAAAATTTGGAGGAAGGAAGGAAAAGTCAAATGAAAAATTTCCTAAAAAAAGTATCTTTCACTTTATGTTTTCATAGAACAAGAATCCAAACCCAGGGATGGGATTGTTTTTGTAGGAAAATATGAAGTGAAAAATATTTTCTTTAAAAATGTTTTCTTCACAAAATGTTTTATTTCAAATTTTTATGGAACGAGAATTGAGGCCTTGCTCTGAGGCCTTGCTCGATCTGGTTCTCTACCAAAGATGGAAGAGTTCTTTCACAAATAGAAGAGAGGTATAGTAGGAAATTCTCTCTTCTATCCCTAGAGGAGAACTCAATTTTTGTCCATAGCAGAGAAACCACGCTTCTATCTGTTTAAGAAAATACCTTTCTATCCATAGAAGAGATTTTATGAAGAGAAGAGGTTTTATTGATAGAAAGGTCTTTTCTGATACAGATAGAAACGTAGTTTCTCTTCTATGGACAAAAAATTGGTTTCTCTTCTATAGACAGAAGAAAAAAGAGCGATTTCTCTTACATATATAGATGGGTGGCTCTCTTCTATCTGTGAAAGAGCTCTTTTATCTATGGAAGAGCTGCGGGACCTTTATCTCTTCTATCTGTGAAAGAGATTTTTTTCTCTTCTAGGAACAAAAAAAGGGTTTCTCTTCTATGGATATAAGAGAGACTTGCCTTCTAGAAATGTGGCTTCTCCTCTCTGAACAGAAGACCAACTTCTCTTCTATGAATAGATGGGTAGTCTCTCTTCAAAGTTTAATTGAACGGTTTCTTTTCTCTCCTTGATTTCTCTCCTTTGGATAAGAGAAATCCTTCTCTTCCACAGATATATCTCTTCAACTCCTTTTTTTTCTTCACCCCAATAAAAACTCCCAGAAAAATTCACCCCCTCTCCCCCCTATAAAATGAAACGATAAGTAGTTTTTTACACTTACCCGAATGCTGGTGAGCATGCATCTGCTGCAGCGAATGACTCAAAGGCAGCAATGGACTCTGTGGCGGCCCCACCACATCCAACAGCTTGTCCTCGTCGTCCTGTTGATTGTCGTGCATGGAGGGATGTGAGTGCAGATGATGGGGCGGCCTGCCCGTGTGGCCCAAATGCAAGGGGGCACGCGAACTGCTGACATGTGTTGGATTCAGTTTATCCGAATCGGACCCGCGATTCGAGAGTAACGCTTGCCTGTAACAACAGTTGGTAGATACGAACGGCTGATTAGAACATCCAAGGTTCAGTGGGATAGAGAGTAATGTATTGAAATAATGCAAAAATATAAAGTTCGGAATTTTTGGAAAAAAATTGAAAATTTTTGTTTTTTAAAAATTTCCGTTGAATTTTTGTTTTAAAATTTTGTCTTTGATTTTTTTCTAAAATTTGGTCTTTGAATTTTTGCGAAAAATTTGAAAATTTTTGATTTTTTTTTTTAAATTTCCATAGAATTTTTGTTTTAAAAATTTGTCTTTCAATTTTTTTTTCTAAAAAAATTTGGTCTTTGCATTTTTTCTCCATAAAACTTAGTCCTTGATTTTTGAGAGATTTTTCCAGAATCTTTTTTAAGGAAGAAGTTTTGAAGAGATTTTTTGAATAAAAATTAGTTTTTAGATTTTAAGAATTGAAATGCCGTTGAGTGTTGAGAAATCTGTGGATTCTATATTTTCCAGGTTGTGATTTCTTCTGTAGATAATATTTAGCCCTATTGGCCGAATAATTCTTTAAGGGTTTTTTTGTTTAATTCTACTTTTTTCTCCTCCTAATTTTCGGTGATTTGAGGTTATGCAGACATAATTTGAGGTTAGAGTTGATTTTTTCATTTCACAATTAAGTTTTGAAGCTAATTTGTTAAGGGTTTTGTTGTAGAGAGTAGAGAACCTTGTAGACCTTTAAGAGATTTTTTTTTAAATTTGACTCATCTGGTTTGGTGTGTGGTTTGAGGTTATGTAGACATAATTTGAAGTTAGAATTGATTCTTTATTTCACAATTAAGTTCGGAAGCTAATTTGTTAATGATTTTGTGGTTGAGTTCGAAAGAAGTTTATGGATTTTATTGTTTTCTTTCTCCTCCCCCTCCCCCCCTCTAACCCCCCTTCTATAGCCTGTCGTCTCTGAGTGGCCAGCATTAATTCCTTTGCTCATTAGCCTTAAAGCGGCTTAAACCAGAACACATTTTTGCTTTGTTTTTCTTGTTGTCAACAGCAACTTTGGAGGACAATTAGCTGGGCTTTTGTCTGGAGAAATAAATTCCAAAAAAAATTTTTTTTTGGATGCTCTCCGGAATATTTATTAATTCCAACCCCATCTCCCCTCCTCCACAGAAGAATCGTTTTTTTGTTTGTATTGTCTGTTTGTTTGTTTGCCAAGTTTGATTGTGTCGATTTAACCCCTTTTCAAAATTCCCCCCTTCCAGCCCTCCGGTGTTGATTTCCCAAGAAATTTGTAGTAGGCCAGGGATGGGGGAGGAGGGGGTTCTTTGGTGACAATCAATGAGTAAATGTTTAAACGTTGTCTTAGTATCAATTCTATTGTGTTATCCCCCTCCCCTTTCCCATAGCCCTCTTGACTCTTAAGTGTTGTAACAAATTCCGAACTAATTCATTATTAGTTGTCGGGAGGGGGGGAGGTAGCATGGGTTTCGTTTACAATTAGAAAATGTGGAAAAGTGCGTGTTAAGCGTATTAAAACAACCCTTTTTTCTACCTCTCTCTCCCTCTCCCTCTCTTCATGCTAAGCAAATGACTCCGCAAGAACAGCAACCTGGTTATAATAATACCATGGCTAATAATAATTTTGTGGCTTTGCACCCTTTTTCCTACGCCACAGGATTTGTTTAATGGTTGTTAAGTGCGTCTAGCTTAGAAAAGGGTTAGGGTGGGGTGAGGGAAAAATGCGTGTGCGTAGCCATGTGTGTGTGATATTTAAATCGGCCTTGGGTATTCATCATTATCGCCACATGAAGCCCACCAAAAACCGGGACATTTAAACGTTTTGGGAGATTAGGTCTTTGTCCCTGGCAGAGGAATTCCAAGACCTGGGGAGTTTTATATCAAAACATACGTTAATTGATGTGTTTTTTCTTATTACAACCAAGCTCTGCAGGACAACTCCAAGGTATTTTAGGAAAAGGAAACATATTCCAACAATTATAACCACAAGAAACAAAGTTCTACAAAAGGCGAGAATAATACAGAAACAGGAAGTTAGAAGCTATCCTTGGCATTTCTAAAAAACTCAGGCCCCAGGCAATGCAAAAAAAAATCAATTTGCCAAAAGACAATCTACCTTCTTCCCCCCTCCAACAAACTAAGCCCATAATTGCAAAAAAACGCTTGGGAAATTGCCGCGCAAATTAAAAATAAAACAAGAAAATTACAGGGCAAAAAATAGCTTTGCTAATCTCCATGATATTGACAGTCTTTTTTTTACAAGACAGATAGGCTGCTAATCACCCATGCCCACAGGCAACCCCCCTCCCCTCATTTCCCGCTAAGGTATCTCTAATATATGTGCATTTATTTCTTTTCCTTTCCTTATTTTTTTGATGGGATTAAAACGTCTTGGCCCGCCCTTGACGCTCCCACACATATCCGTCTAGCTTATAAATGCTAGACAACATTCTAAATTGATTTACTATTAAATTACTGGCAATCCAACAACACCACTAACAACTCACCACCATGGAGGTAGTAAGCCGACGGCAACAATATGTCTGGTGTTGTTTGCAGTTATTTCTTTTTTTGTGTCTTGTTTTCGAAAATTGCCCAATTTGGCGAAAGTAGCAAAAATTGTAACGCTTTGATGTGTGAACACCAAAAGGAGGTTTTTCTGATGTTGTTGTTTTTGCTATTTTATTTAATTCCCTGTTTGCAGGCCGTCGCCATCACCAGCCTTGTGGCAAACAAAATTGCGCTAACGTGTTTTGAATTAATTTTTTATACATTTCCAACTTTTTTTTTACTGGCTGGCACTCTCTTTCTCGGTGTTTTTCAATTAAAGGCAATGATGACTGACGGACGGACAGACCGACGGACTTGCTGGGTGGATGGTATGGCACCATAAAATACCCACATACACGTATCCTTTGTTGCACTACTCCATTGTTGGCCAAAATAAAGATATCAGCATTAGCCAAGCCAAGGCATTTGAATAGCCTAAAAGCAGGCAACACTAAATTGAAAACCAGAGATGGTATGGTGAAGGTAATTTAAATTAACGAAGAAAAAAGACTAGGGATATTATAAAATGTTGTAAATCTTAAAAATTATACGAGAGGTCCTATAAGAGAGGTTCCGGAGGAAAATATTTGAAATATTATTTTTTCGGAGAATATCAAGAATTGATTGTATAGACCAGGGCCGGGCAGAGAGTCACACATTTTTCTTCTCCCAACATTTTTTTACTCTCTGATTACATTGTTTACGAAAGTCCCAGGTTGTGGGTGTGGAGGAAATTACGCTCTACTCTTGGATCTGGTACAGAGCTTCAATCTTCCAAGTTGTACTAGAGGTCCTATAAGGTGAGTCCTCTAAGGGAAATACTTGAAATATGATTTTTCAGAGAATATCAAGCATTGATTGTGTAGATCAGGGTCGGGTAGAGTGTCGCACATTTTTGTTCTCCCATTTTTTACTCTTTGATAACATTGTTTATGAAAGTCCCCGGTTGTGGGTGTGGAGAAAAGTACGCTATACTCTTGGATCTGGTACAGAGCTTCGATTTTTTCTCAATTATTTTGATGAACAAAAAAAACACATATGACTAAGTTCGAATAGAATTCGAACCGAAAATGTTCTGAAAATAATACCTTTTCGCGAAATCTCGTTACACCAAATTCACTTTGAGTCAAAGTGGTGTTAAAAATTAGATCTTTCGAATTCGCTTTCCAAAATGTGGGAGAAAAAGGGGCATAGAGAGATAAAAACTGCTTCGAACAAATTGAGACTTTGGAAAAGAGTCGGTCTATAAAATCTTCCAATATTCATGCATTCATTAATTTCACTAATTTCATATTTAGAACTTTTGTAGCATACTTTAAGGGGTTTTAAAACTAGTTCAGTTTCTTTATTTCTTGTCTGGAGATATTCTCTCTCCAGGAGTTAAAAAATAACTCCTGGAGAGAGAATATGCCAGGAGTTAAAAAATAACTCCTGGAGAGAGAATATGCCCAGACAAGAAATAAAGAAACTGAACTAGTTTTAAAACACCTTAAAGTATGCTACAAAGTTCTAAATATGAAATTAGTGAAATTAGTGAATGCATGAATATTGGAAGATTTTATAGACCGACTCTTTTCCAAAGTCTCAATTTGTTCGAAGCAGTTTCGATCTCCCAATGCCTTTTTCTCCCACATTTTGGAAAGCGAATTTGAAAGATCTAATTTTCAACACCATTTTGACTCAAAGTGGATTTGGTGTAACGAGATTTGGCGAAACGGTATTATTTTCAAAACATTTTCGGTTCGAATTTTGTTCGAACTTAGGATAACTGATGAGGATTGGTGGTTAGGATAACTGATGAGGATTGGTGGTTCTTTAAATTTTTTTGGACGACTTCGATTTTCATGTAATCCCAAAAGTAGGCAGTGATAAACATGTTTTTGGTGTCGAAATCCCAAATTTTTGCAACAGAATTTGTGTGTTTCTTTCAATATTGCGTACAAACTAGAAAGCTGTTGAGCTGATGTCTTCCAGAGACATTTTTAGAATCTCGGATTTAAAAATAACGAATCTGTCCTTTATGGACTATTTCATAAAAATAGCCCTCCTTATAATCTTGCAATCCCCAGGAAAGTTTGCTTAAAGTCTTGTCCAGGATTATGCCTACGCATCTTTGAAAATCTGAAAAAAATCTTAAAATCGCAAAATCGACTTTTTTCTTTTCGATTTTTCATTAATTTGCATTTTTGGTCGATTTTCGATTTTCATGTAAGCCCTAAAGTAGGCAGTGATAAACATGTTTTTGTTGGACTTTTGCTTGTCAAAATCGCAAATTTTGTAGCAGAACTTGGATGTTTCTTTCAAATTTGCATTCAAAGTCGAAAACTGTTAAATTGATGCCTTCCAGAGAAATTTTTAAAATCTCAGATTTAAAAATAGCGAATCTATCCTCTAAAGACTATTTCATATAAATAGCACACCTTTAAATCTTGAAATCCTTGTCCAGAAAAAAGGAATAGGTATCTCACCTGAAAATCACAA